ACATATCTTTCTCGTGGTCTTCTGAAGTGTCTATAGCGTCCACCGCTATTACTATTGTTTTGTGGCCCTTAATTCTCAAAGTCAATGCCAACATTCGTTCCGACATATACTTGTACTCACTGTAAATAATGTATGTCATGTAAAAAAATCCAGGGACAGGGGTTAATCCGTGACCTCCGCGCGATAAGAAGAGTGACAGAGTCATAAACTGATAGAAAACCGTTCCCACTGACCATTGTACCGACCTGTAAGTGCCCCAGGTCCGATCACCGGTTCAGCGTCGCCGCTGTGGCCAAATTTGATTTCCTTTTTCTGTTAGTTGTTTTATTCGATAATTTCTTATCTTAGTCGTTATAGTCTGCTAGGCAATAAAGGCCGTATATTACAAACTTGAACTGACCACTGGAGAGGGAGCTGACGCCCGAGAAGGCGCTCCAGTCGGTTCAGGGCGCAACGCTGGAGTACGCCACAAACCTATCGTTTCGTTGCAAGGCCAGAAAAAAATGTGCAGTACTAGGCGAAATTCGAACTCGCAATTCTCGTTATAAAAATCACACAGAAAATCTTGTGTGACTTATGTGAACCAGAATATGCTTTTGCGAGTACTCGTTATATGCATGTCTACCTAGTTTCTGGTCTATGATACAAATAATTGTTTTCTGATGCTAAATTTTAGGTGGGTTTTTCTGTACAGTTACACGACGTAATTTTAACAACCAAAATTTTTCTTTTAGTGTTTGAATATCCAATGTGCAATTTCCCTATAACTAAGAGAAAAGTGTCACGATTTAGCGATTTTGATTTGTTAATAAAAGATTAAAATAAACTACGATTTTTTGGTTAGTTTCTCCCAGTGTTAAAAATTTAGACGTCAGAGCTTTACAGATAAAACATGGATTTTCTCATTGTGCAAAAAGAAAATTTGTTTTAGAATAGTACTTAATTCTTTCTGTTCTTAGGTGAATTTTTGTCTTAATGAGTTTAAAAATAAAATTTGGTTAAAATAAAATTGCACAAATATTTTTGTAAACAAATTGTGATTGAAAATCAAGACGGATTCATAAACCACAAGTGCAGGTGTGTTATTTTATAAAATTGAAATAATATTTACCAAGTAAAATGTACGAGATGGATCCTATAACACTTCCTTAGCTTGTGATTGAAAATAAAAAATCCTTTTTATTTCTCGAACGAAGGGTAATATAATATAAAATCCAGCAGAAGAATTGGTACTTTCTGGTTTTCCCAACGTTTAATGACTTCAAAAATACGAAAAAGTAGGTCTCGCGTTTCCGTCCGTCTGTCGTCTGTCTGTCTGTCGTCTGTCTCTGCTCTGTCCATCTGTGTGGGTTAATTTTTATTAGACAGATCATTTCCGAAACTACCATATCGATTGTTGTCAAATGCTATATGTGTTTTAGGAATATCGTCTAGATGGTAAAACGCTAACTAAAATTGATCTGTACGTCGCCACCAACAATTTGATGTCATCGCCCCAAGTTTTTTTTTTTAGTAAACACCATTAAATTTTATAAAATAACATAGTGTTGTATTTGTGGTTTATGAATCCGCCTTAAGTTTTTACTCTAAACATCCAAATTTTTGCACTCACTCATTAATTTTTACTTCCCGAGCGTAAGCAAAGGAAGTATTGTAATCGAGTCCGTCGGCCGACTTTCTACTTTTACGTTTTCTCGATCGTTCATGACCCCTAGAAGACGAAGAAATAGGTCTCCCATTTCCGTCTGTCTGTCCGTCTGTCCGTCTGTCCGTCTGTCCGTCTGTCCGTCTGTCCGTCTGTCCGTCTGTTCGTCTGTCCGTCTGTCCGTCTGTCCGTCCGTCTGTCCGTCTGTCTGCCGTCCCGGATTTTTATTAGACAGATAATCTCCGAAAGTACTGGACCGATTGTTGTGAAATTTTGTAGTTATATTAGGAATATCATTTAGATGGTAAAAAGCTAACCAAAATTTGTCTAATCATCCCCACCACTAATGTGATGACGTCACTTCAAAATTGTACATAGTAAATGGGTTTTAAATTGTATAAAATAATATAGTCCTAAACATGTAGTTTACGACTCCGAATTGAGTTTTTACCAGAAACGTCCAGATTTTTGGAAAAAAAATCAAAATTATAAAACAACATTTTGCAATTTAATTTTGAATCTGCTAATCCGAATGTTTTGAAATGTTGCAGATGTTTTAAGGCTATAAAGAGCATCATAAATCTTTACTCAAAATATATTTGGTTATTCGCTCCAAAAACTTGATGACGTCAGCTCAAAAGTTTGCCAAATAAATCCTATGTAAAATGTACAAAATATGACGAGTCTGTGCTTGTGATATATCACCCCATTCATATTTTTTGGATTTGCATATACAGGGTGACTCAAAAAAATTAATGAATGCGTAAATTTATTTTACTGATTTACTCAGGAACTACAAAACCGAATGCTTTGAAATCTTGAAGGTGTTTTAAAGTTATCATAAGCATGGTAAGTTTTTGATCAAAATGTATTTGCTCATCCCCCCTAAAAAATTTATGACGTCAGCACAAAATTTTCCTAAATAAATCCTATCTAAAATGTACAAAATATGATGAGTCTTTTCTTGTGATTTATCATTCCATTCATAGTTTTTGGATTTGCATATACAGGGTGACCCAAAAAAATTAATGAATGGGTAAATGAATTTTATTGATTTAATCAGGAACTCCAGAACCGAATGTTTTGAAATGTTGCAAATGTTTTAAGGTTATAAAGAGCATAATAAATTTTTAATCAAAATATATTTGGTTATCTTCTACAAAAAACTGATGACGTCGACTCAAAAGTTTGCCGAATAAACCCTATCTAGAATATACAAAATATGATGAGTCTGTACTTGTAATTTATCATTCCATTCATATTTTTTGAATTTGCATATACCGGGTGACTCAAAAAAAATTATGAAATCTACTGCGAAAAAAAAACATAATAGACATGCAGTCGTCACGGTTCCGACAGCGAGGGAAGTACTGTCTAAACTTTTTAGACCAATTTTTCTGCATCACCCTGGATAAGCAATTCTACAAAATATGAATGTAATAATAAATCGATAGGAACTATTTGGCAAAATTTTGCGATGACGTAATTAATTATTGGGGCAGGGAGGACAAACAATTACATTTTGACTAAAAATTTACCATGCTTACGATAACTTTTAAACGTCTGCAAAATTTCAAAGTATTGCAAAGCAATGTTATTACATAATTTTGATATTTTTTCCTAAAATCTGTAAAAATTCAACACGGATTCATAAACTACACGTGTAGCAATATGTTATTTTATACAATTTAAAACCCATTTACTATATACAATTGAGGTCATTACATTGTTGGTCGGGATGATTAACCAAATTTGGTCAACGTTTTACCATCACATGATGCTCCTAATACACAAACAAAATTTGACAGCAATCAGTCCGGTAGTTTCAGAGATTATCTGTCTAACAAAAATCGACAGAGACGACGGACAGACAGGCAGACAGACATCGGACGAAAACAGGAGACCTATTTTTTCGTACTCTTGGGTTCATGACACATCGAGAAAATATGAAAGTAGCCATTCGTCTGATAGACTCGATTACAATACTTCGTTTTTATGTGCCGCATTGTACTCATGATCACAAATTACAATTTACGTAACCAAATCACTATATGCATAAAACTAAACAATCCATGAAGGATTTGTAAGGGCTTGAGGCAAAAAAAGTCTTTTAGTGGGCTATGAAATTTATTTTTAAAATAATGATTTTCAACGACTATTCGACAGTTGTTGACCGTAATTGTCAAAGTAGACAAAGAACGCGTTGGTGTTGCCAACATCATTATTTTAAAATAAGTTTCATGGCCTACTAGGGGACTTTTTTTATTGTATGGTATTTGTTAGTGTGTTACCCAAAAAAAAATTAAATATATCGAGTCGACATTAATACAAAGCAAAGCAACATTTTAATTTATTTTTTGCCTATTAAACAATTTATTTAAATATTTTTTCCTACAACTGAATTTTAAAACTCTAGGAATCAGTGTGAGAACAAAGTTAATAAAAGTACTTTCACAAAACGAATAAAAATTTATATAATTTTGATGTTCGTTTTCCTTTATTTAATTAGTCTTACTTTATTGTTGATCATCCTGAATTTTAGTATTCAGTGCAGCAATAATTTAGGTAAATGGTAGCACGTGTAAACTATTTTTCTTAAGCACTTTTTCTACTTAGAAACAACACTCGTTATATTATTATGAAACTACATGTCGCTATTAAGAAAATAAATATTTTGTATGTATCTCACTCTATTATACTTCTAAGTTATCGCTTTAATTTTTTATATTATGGACTTTTAAACATACGTTTAAAGTTTGCAAAAGTCAAAGCCATTATCAGGCGCTCTATGTTTCCCAGAAATTTTGAAATATATTTGCAATTACAAAACAAACAAACAGACTACGTATCATTATTTAACATTCTGACATCCAATAATTATTACTGGAAGACCCTTTTTATAAAATTATACGCGGTTAAATAAGCAGGCTCTTTCCTGTTATTACATAATTTTAGTAAAAAACAAGTTATGGTTTCCAGTATTATCTAAGCTATTATTTTAAATTTCATTTTATTAAAATAATTATACACTTACGAAAATGATAAATCATATCAGATACGGCAATTACATTAGTACATCGCGGGTCAAATACCCCAAATGTGTAGATATTTTGCACCCAGGTGGAGACTAGAACACAAAAACATTGATTTAAAAAACCTAAACATATAAACCTCTTTCTAGGGTACAAAAGGGAAATACAGTGAAAGCATTTGCCCGAGTTTATTCACACAACCCAACATATGTTCGCTAATAACCAAGTTTGCCGAAGCTTCCCAAAATAACACAAGAAAACCCATTTTGTGCCCTCATAACCGAGACCTTCCATCAGCTATTTAATAATTTATTCGATTGCAGGAAATCCCCCTACCGAAGCTTCCCGTACCCTCTCTGGAACAAACCTTGAACAAATACGAGTACACAATGAGACCGCTCCTGAACATTGAAGAACAGAAAAAGCTCAAAAAGCTCATCGAGAAATTTTCCGGACCTGGTTGCCTCGGCCAGCAGTTGCAGCTGTACCTCCTAGACCGCCAGGAGAAAACGGATAATTGGGTAGGCATTCAGCTCGATAATTACGCCATTAATAATACTAAACGAATTTGCTAGAGCGAAATTTGTTTTGTTTTAAGAAAAAGGTGACTGTGTAAGAAGTTAATGAAAATTAAATTTGTTGCAAACGAGATTGCTGCAATTAGGAAATTACGTCGTGTCAGTCTGAGCATTCAAGCGCGAGTTCCAGACTCCCCCAAGCCGAATTGATCTTGTTAGCTATGAAAATTGTTTGATCACCGATTCGGAAAGTAAACGTAGTATTTTCCACCCTCCTTTCGGCTAGTTAGAACTTACCTACACGCATACGATAGAACACTGAAGTGAAAAACGTAGAGAGCCGAAAGTTTTCATAAAGCGTAGAACTGAAATTGATTTCTTCTAAGAATCTTGACCTTAAACTACTAAAATATTCATACTTTAGTTATTTCGGCTAACAGCAGGCACTGGCAGGTGATAATTAATCATACGTCATTTGAAGTATATTACAAAATAAACAGATACATTGAAAGCACTGAAACATCCATCCATGGCCACACTATTCAGCTAAGTTCAATAACAATTATTTTGTAAACATATTTGTACATTAAGCACCACTTACCTACTTACAATGACTGTGAACTTAGAAGAGTAATTTCAGTGTCAAAATGATGTTTGACACTCCCTTTTCGTATTTGAAATGTGCGCTCTGTATTGGTAATTACCATCCATCTATCTTTAGTAACGTCAATAAACTTGTTGTAATCCCTGCAGACCTGAAGAGCAAACAGCGCTTTTCGCTGCCCCTAGAGGGATTAAAAATTATAATTGGATTGTGCGGGAATGGAGTGCCAAAATCTACATACAAACGTAGACATGAAATTCATTAATGGTAAAATCAATATGATTTTTACGCCAAATCCGCAGGATCCAGTAAATTAACAGGAAGTAAAGAGACGGAAATACACACGATTTCTTCAAAAAATAATGTTGACAAAAAAAAAATTGGAATTTATCAAGCCAATGATTTAAATGCAAATAACGTAAGACAGTTAGTTAAAATTTTATAAATATTTAACTACATTGAACTACTTTGAAACCCAGTATAAGAAAAAGTTGACGACTTAAGTTAGTTTACACGGCCACCAATCTTAGTAAATTGTTAGTTTCAGCATATCTAAGTTCGTTTTATAACGTTTTGGATGTCCTGGATGCACACAAAACTCAAAAGGACAGTGAAAATAGGATTAAAAATCAATTTTCTTGTCAAATTTCAATACTTTAATCACTCAGCTACAAATTTTTATGTAGTTACCATGTCGTTCCAGTTCATTCCGGTAGAGTTATTAAGACTTTAAGGGCTCAAAAATGGAAGAAATCATAAAATCTAATTAGAAATCTGTTTTCTGGATACATTTTAATAGTTTGGCCTAGTAGTTGCTAATTCTGTTCTTTTCGAATCTGCCAGATTCACTAGGTTCAGTTGTTTTAGATTTTGAAATGAAAATTTGGGACAGCTCTAGGAATCTTTAAAAATATTACTTCCAGCATCTTAGGGTAGATTTTCTAAGTTTTTCAAAAAGGGCACATTTGGAAACACTGAAAAACTGCTCAATTTGAATTACATATAAAGGGTTTCTATAAATGATTATAGGGTCGAAGTAGGTCATGAAAGCGTGCCGCCTCTCACTTTATATGGACTCAATACTTTTGACCCATTGTTCAATTTCATGTTGCAACAGGAACTCCTGACTGCCGAGGAAATCTTATCAAAGATAGTTGCGAATTGTGCTCAAGTCGTCTCAAATCATCAACAACTTCCTCAGATACTAAAAGTCTTCCAGAACAAAATAAACTATTTTCACGACGACGAACACAATTTTCGTACACAAGCACCAAAAATTTTTAAAACGGCTGTTTTGTTGTTTTAAGTTTGGATCAACGAGAATTAGTACACTTGGAAAACGTCAAGATTGTCATAATGAAGCATAATTTCAGCGAAGCGGTAATTCTGAAATCCATGGCCAACTACGCCCTTAGAATCATTTTTAAAAACCCTGTATGTTCTGCTCAAATTAAAAGAAGCAAATTTTAGGCAGACCACAAGCCGTGATAATTGTACCGATGGACAGGGGATTTCGTGACAACCGCGCCACGCCGACGCCGCGAGAATGTCATTCGGTTTTGACAACTTGTGTTCCTTTCACATCATTGCGTGATTCCTTTCGATGAACCGTCCCCGAACCGTCGCCGCCTCCCCAGGAGTCGAAGCAACATCGTGCAAAGAGGAACCTGCTACAAGGAGACAGAAAATAAATATTTTTAAGTTTAACTGTTGTATTATTTTTGTCTCGCGCGGCTCCTCACTAGACTCGCTGGAGATGTATTTCTCTGATTAAAGTATCCCAGGTGTTTCCTCTCCGGAGAGGGAACTGACGCCCGAGCAACAGTCCCCATAGAAAGCGCCTTCATGACATTCACCTCCGGGGTTCGTCGCATAACTAAATCAACATATTTAGAGTTAGCCTTTCACCTTGTTCACTATAGTATTAGATACAAACAAATATAATTTCAAAATAATGAGTAAAAAATTGAATCATCATCATGTATTTTAAAGTTAATAAAATGCATTACATTCACTTTTAAACCACTCTTTTCGCAAAAATAAACCAGAAAATCTGTACCGCTATATTATATCGAGTTATAATAAAAAATGTATGATGAAGCATTAAAATGACAACAGAAAATTGTGAGCTTAAGACTTTAAACTTATATTTTACACCTAGGGAAAGTGTGGAAATAACCTCGAGAACTTTTAGAAAATTGTAAAAAAATGATCTCATATTATTAAATAGAACTTTCCTCCCCCCTGAAGTACAATAATAAACGTAGTTCGTATAAAAAATTAGTGTACAAATGCGATTTTTTTCTGACAATCTGGATGCCTAAGGTAAAATCTTAAGGCGGATTTATAAGCCACAAATATTATGAAATCGACACATACAACAAACAGACAGACGACAGACAGACGAACATGGGAGACCAAGTTTTTCATATTCTAGAAACCTCGAAAAAACATGAAAATAGCCATTCGTTGATGGATCCTATTATACTATTTTTTGTTTTGGCTTAGACTCGGAAAGTTAAAGCATATAATTTGTTAAAACTGCTCCATTGCTCACGGGAATGTCTTTTAAAAATAATATACTTCCCTCGCTCCTTAATACAGTCGAATAAAATATAAAATTTGATTTTGCAAAATTTTATTTACTTATTTTATGATAATATAATTAAAAAAATATAGATAAGTCCCAGCAGAAAAAAAAACCGGTAAGGATCGGATTCACATCAACACGGTGGTGAATACAAGTCCGAAATCACTCAATTTATCAATTCAACTAATAAGTACTTGACAGTGAAGCGAGGTACCGGCTACATAGATCACATGGAAAATATTTCACAAAAAAATTGTAAAGTAATTGCGACAAAAATCATGGCGGATTCAAAAACCACGAGTACTGGAAAATATTTTTTGTTGAAAATTAGATAACATTAGCTACACAGTTTAATGAGCGATGTCATCAAATTGTTGATGGGGATAACTAGACAATTTGTAGTTAGCGTTTTATCATTTGCAGAACAGATAATTATCTGTCTAATAAATAATAAAAATCGACACAGAAGACAGACAGACCGACAGAAACAGAAGACCACTTTTTTCATACCCAAAGGACCATAAAACATCGAGAAAACATAGAAGTATCCAATAAAAACGCATATTTTATGAATTTATCAAATTTTTTCTTTCTTTGGTTATAACTTATAACAAACCTTTTGCAGAACTGAGATGGTGGTCGATTCAGTGGTACCAAACAAGTGAGAAAAATGGTAAAATTTGATTTTCCTACATTTTAAATTTGGTGCCACGAAATCCACCAATCGAGTGTGGCGCTTAATTTAAAAGTTTCCTTGTAGCCAGCTTAAATTGGAGTGTGGATAAATATTACCATGTTTTTCACTTATTTGGTACTACTGAATCGCCTGCCCTCTTAAACGTGCAAAAGATCTATTGGCTAAGTTAATCAAAAATGTTTTCTTTTAGCGGTTTAATAATAACGATAATAATAATTTATTTAGAACAGGAAAGTATAGCGTATTTTAAAACTCCCTTCCCCTAAGCCATAAACCATCCCGAAAATTGATAGATTCCAGGGTTTCTCGGTTGAGAGAAGATAATTCTCCAAAATCACTGCCAATAATGGAGCAAACGATTCGTTTTGTTTTATTAATCGTAAATAGTAAAAAAAATATGTTATCTCAGTTCCTCTTGTACATGTAAACGCAGTGCTTCAACAATTTTGACGTCCTTAAAATGTGATTCCGTTACCATAAACACGATATATTTTTGAAATCAGCAAGTTCGGATCTATATCCCTGAATTTTTTTAGAGTTTTTACAAAACAAGCTATAGAAAAATAGGTAAAAATGTAAAATTAATTCCACCCACCTACACATCTATTTTTCATTGGCTTGTTGTATTAACTATGAGATGAAAATTGAATTATATGGCCCCGCCCACCCACCGGTTTCTTTCTGATCAGTCATTTTATTTGACAAAACGGGGATTTTCTAGTGATAATCGTTGGAATCTAGGCAATAAAAGGTAAAACTAATCCCACCCACCACCGCTTTCGAATTTCATTAGTTTTTTGATTAGATGAAGACTGAATTTTACCGTGTCAAGTGGCGAACTAGGCTTAAAAAAATTCAAAGCCCACCCACCCGGTTTTCTTTTTGGTACCTTCTTTTATTGGATGAAAAATGTAGTTTATATTGCACAACAGTGGAATCATTCGCTTATTTGATTAGATGGAAATTGAATTTTATTTTGTCGTGTGTGGTGGTTTCACCCACCCACCCGGTTAACCTCCTGATCACTCATTTTATTGGACAAAAAAGGGATTTTATATTGATAAATATTGGAATCTAAATGAAAAGGTAAAACTAACCCCACCCACCTGGATATTATTGGTGTTTCTGACTAGATGAAGACTGAATTTTACTGGGTCACGTGGCGGACTAGGTTTAAAATATTCAAAGTGGCATATATACCCTTAGATTCAACGCCTACTTTAAAAAAGAAGGGAATATCTTGTTTTTTAACAAAAGAAGCGCGGTAAAACCTGTTTACTGGGTGATTATTGTTGATTTACAATCAACGGTTTATGGCTTAGGCGAACGAAGTTCTGAAATACACTATATAAAAGTCAAATTAAAAACAATATATATTTCTTAAAAAATAAAAAGAAAAAATCAAAAATTAATTAATTTCTAGATTAATAGGCTATAACTTAGTTTAATATCGTATTAAGAGAACTATAAGGTTAAAGCTAGATTCAGTAGGATGATGCAAGATTAGAAAATAATGGCAGCTGAAATTATATGACGTAATTCTAAGATCTCATTACTTGGTCTTATTAGCCATAACGATAGAAATGCTGCTCGAATGTCGATCATTTCCAGGCCAATGGTAGATCTAATTAAGAATAAGAAATTAAAACTGCTCAAATATGGCGCACCAATTCGATAACACGTTGTTGATCACTATTTATGGAGCAGAAAAAATTATGTCAAAAATTCTTAGATCCAAATGTAGAAGATACAGCCCTTTAATCTTTAACTTTTATTATTATTTTTTTAACACTCCGTTCTAAACATAAAATCGATCAGACTTGCATTATTTAAATATAACAAAAACGTTAAAAATTGTTTAGGATGAATCTGACAACAGTGCCTAATTTTTCACGTTTTTTGATATTTCTTTCTAAATCGATATTTTGTTTTTGTAAACGAGCCTCAAATTGACGCAAGGAATTTTTTAACGAGTTTTCTCAAACTGAGAGCTATGAACTTATTTATAAATGTACCGTTGAGTTGGTGGACAATTTTTTGAGCACCTGTATAAGCAAGACAATTTACTCATAGCTCTAATCGTTTTAGTTGTTGATGACCCAAATTAGAACAAAATAACTTGAGCTACAGTTACCATATTTTACTTAGTCTAAGATTTTAGTAAGTTAAGCTTAGATTTGGAAATTGTAATATGTGCAACAGTTGAAAAGTGACTGTTGGTGATTTTTCAAAAACATATACGACATAATCGAAAACATTTTGAGTTGAAGTAGGCCATGATATACGTTGTATTGTTCTGATAATTTCATCGTTTTAATTGTGACAAATTTTAAACTTTATAATAAAAAAAAATAAACTTAATTACATTAACAACAAATTAGTTTTTGTGCTCGAAAATAATTCTTTATTTCAGCTGTAATAATACTTATAAAGCACAGTTAGTTTAAAGCGGAAAGTATTTTCTTCACTGCCTATAAATAATTTAAAACCTTCCCATTTACCCAAAAAGACGCTTTGACACTTCCCGAAAGCAAAGCCATGAAATTTTTACGAGTGTGATGGATTTCCATTGCATAAATCCATAATAATAAGAAAGCAGTGCATACCCGCAAGCGAAAATTGCGCTTGTGCCTCGTTGAAAAATTCAACACTTTGTAACAACTTTAATTCAACCCTTATTTCATTCATCTTCACCGTTGTTCGCCTGCTTTATTCCTGCTGCGTTCGAACAAAAATCGCAAAAATTAACCCCAAAACGCTTGTTAATGAACGTCGTAAACAACACAGCTATCCTTAATTTCGTCCTCCTAATGATTAATCAATACTCCGCAGTCATTAAGAGCAATCATTTTTTCGGCTCTCGTTTAATTCAATACACGCCTGTGAAATCCGCAGCGATTCTGCAACCCGGCGAGCACGTCTATCTAGGGGTTGCGGCCAATCAGGGGGAACGCGAAGCACGCAAGCGTCCTCTTAAACACCAATCGTACGGAACCCCTTGTTTCCATAAGACAATGGGGGAAATGATCCAATTGTTCCGCCAGAACAATACCTATTTTGCATATTTCAACTAACATTCACCCTTTTTCTTACAGGCGTACAACTACTGGATCGACGACATGTATATGAAGAACCCGACCCCCCTTCCAGTCAATTCCAACCCCGGGATGATTTTCCCTCCGAGAAAATTCACGACGATTTTAGATGTAGCACGTTTCACGGCGAGGTTATTGGATGCCGCCTTGGACCATAAAAGTGTATTAGATAAAAGACTACTTCCAGTGGAAAAAGCTACGTCAAGGGAACCGGGACAACCGTTGTGTATGGCTCAGTATTATAGGATCTTGGGTTCTTGTAGGATACCTGGGAAGCAAAAAGACACACAGTACGTCCCTGTGGCTGTCAAATCGGAAGAAAGTCAGTCGGAACATGTTATTGTTATATGCAGGAGTCAGTTGTATTGTGTTCCTGTGCAGGCCGCTGATCGTGGAAGACTCAGCGAGGATGAAATTTGTGCACAACTTTTACACATTTTAGATGATGCACCTTGTCTAGCTAGCCCTCCACCTGTGGGGCTGCTCACTGCTTGGAAGCGCCCTCTGTGGGCTGAAGTTCGCGAGAACCTCATCATCAACGAACGAAATCGAAGAAACTTGGATCTTATAGCTAAATCTCTTTTGGTTGTTTGTTTAGACGAGGGGTTAGGGAGCGGGTTTAATTGTCGTTTACAAAGAGGGGGCAAAGGGCACTCCGCGGGTCACCGAGATGAAACCAGTTTAGCTGTACAGATGATCCACGGAGGTGGCAGCACCTACGATACAGCCAATCGATGGTTTGACAAAACCATTCAGTTGATAGTCTCTGGTGACGGTGCCTGTGGCTTATGCTACGAACATTCCCAAGCTGAAGGAATCGCTGTTATTCAACTAGTGGAGAAGTTATGGCAGCACGCAGACGAGCAACCGCCATCTTCAGAAGTACCCTCAGGTTCGAGCCATCTGCCACCTCCAGAGCGTCTAGAGTGGGTTTTGGAGCAACGAGACTTTGTTAAAATCGAAGAAGCGGCACTTGACATAGACAACTTAGTCAAAGATTTAGACTTTCAAGTGTTCCGCTATATGAACTACGGGAAAGAGTTCATCAAAAGCTGCAAAGTTAGCCCGGATGTTTACATCCAACTAGCACTCCAACTAGCTTACTATAGACTCTACGGGAAACTAACCGCAACCTATGAAAGCGCATCCACTCGAAGATTTCGTCTAGGAAGAGTCGACTGTATACGATCTGCCAGTCCGGAAGCTCTAGCATGGGCTGCCGCTATGGCGCAACCTAAAGACGAAGACGAAAGCAAAAAAGTCACTTTCCATTTAGTGAGCGACGAAGAGAAACTGCGTCTTTGGAAGGAGGCTGTCAAACAACAAACCAAAGAGATGGTTGATAATATTCTCGGACAGGGTATAGACATCCACTTGCTGGGTTTACGTGAAGCTGCAAGAGAAACTTCACCGACTGCTGCACACCCACTGCCTGAGCTTTTTACCGATTATACTTATAAATTAGCTAATAAATTCTTGTTGAGTACTAGTCAAGTTGCAACGTCTAGCGATAGTTTTATGGGTTATGGGCCGGTGGAACCGGACGGGTATGGAGCCTCATACAATCCCAAAGCTGATCATATTGTATTTTGTTTGTCTGCGTTTTGGTCGTCGGAAATTACAAGCACCTCAAGGTTTGCACAAGCTTTAGATGAAAGTTTAAATTTGATGCAAGCGTTACTTACGAGACCTACCACTTAGAGGAGTTAGGTTTTGCTTTAAGTAAATGAGATGTTTGTGAGTTTTACTCAAGAATTACAGACACAAGGTTCATTCCTGATAAACTGACTTAAAGAAAATGCGCTAAGTAATGGTCGTCTGTTAAATTCTAGGCCTAACATCTCTGTTATGCCGGATTTTGTTTCAGTTGTGAGGTTAGGTTTCCCCAACACGTGGTACAAAATTTAAAATGACTGAAAGTAAACAAACATATCAATTTGAGTGTGTAGGCTTTTCAGATGGTAGGCAAACCGTGTGAAAGTGGTAGAACGCGAAAATACCGACGTATATTAGTATTATTAGGACTTTTCATGACAAATTGTCGTCCCTATGGTAAACAATACATATTTTAAGCTCAACCATATCGTACCAATTATTAAGATCTAAAATTAGAATATTTATCTACAACTTGTAAAAATAAACCGAATGCCACATCTCACTATGATAATGAAAGTTCTAATACTACTAACTAAACATCGTGTAGTAACTGTCAAATATCACCACACAACTAGCGTTTGCTTTAACAATTGTTGCTTTAACTAAGGCTGAATAGAACTAGATGTTAAAATTAAAACGCTTTTTGTTTTATGTATTATACAGTGTGATAATAAGTAGACGTAATGTAGATTTGTCTTAAGTCAAGTTCTGTTGCCACTTGCCCAAAATGGCGTCACACAAAAATCTGTACTAAAACTACGACAAATGCCACATTTCAACTGTCTACATTACACGATTGTTTCACAAAATATTTTCGTATATTTTTTTCAAAGTATGATTACTCTTCTATTTCTTGTTAGTACTTAAAATTTTATAGGCTGTTAGAATTTATACATTGCTATAGATGCATATATATACACTAAAAGGAAACACGAAATTAGATATACCGACTGAATATACATGTTGAAAGCACTTACAATTCCCAAAAAAGAAAAGGGCACTGAAACAATTAACTATTATCTAATTCGTATTCAATATTATTTAAAAGTGTTATTAATTATTCTATATTTGTAAAAATCTATACAATAAAAAATCCTTTGTACTCTTCTACGCTTTGATTAAGAGTTATCACTGCTAAATACAACATAAAAAAAATAATAACAACAATTTCCTTTGCTACAAACCACTGAATCTCTTTAGGAACGAAGTCCATATGTAATGAAAACGTAAAAGTTTGTTCTAAATATGAAACTTTTTGACAAATTCTAACCCAAGACCATTTGTTTCAAAGGAAACCATTTTCTAAGAAACTACTGAAATTCAGAAACTATTAAAATAATAATGTAATGGCAAATCAAACTGTATGTACTGGTAACACCTATGCTCACTTCGAAGCTTGTATAAATTGAAAAATATTAGTATTACTCACACTATTTTTATGTTAATTATAGAATTCTATGGATCATATTCGGACGTTATAGTCGAAGAAGTGGTAAAGTGAATCTGTGAAAAGTAAATCCTGTTCTTGGGGATGTGGATTTTAAAAAATAATCTACCTTTGAACACAAAAAATGAGGATCAAGAACACAAGTATTACTTTTCACGGTTTTCGTCGGCCAGTTTCATTGAAACTACTATTTTTATTATTATTAAAAATATAAATATTTATAAATCTGTTTTAATATAGTAGCGCTATATTATTGTGTGTAACGATATGTGTGTTACGTTGACTTATACCTGCATGTTTGTTACACTGTTACAACTTTATGTAAAGATGCTTTGATATAAAGATATCGTAGCTGTAAAAACAATAATCATTTATTAATTATAAATTAAACAATGGCCTTAAAATGGCATATCACTACATCTGTCAATCTAGCTAAAGAAATTGTATTTATCAATTTACTTACTGTAAAATATACTTGTTATAAAGTACACACCTTAGATTTTAGAGTGCAGTGTTTTCGTATGTGGCGTTTATGTATGTAAAAGCCTTTTTGACAAGATTTTTTGTTAAGCGAAAATGAGTCCAGAAGTATTCTTCATGTAAAATGTAGGTTCCTATAATTTCACTTGTAATGTAAATAGATTACATAGAAAAGTCGTGTATTAGCAATATGAAATAGTATATATTTTTTCCACGTAGACTTCATAATATGTACAGGGAATATGTAACCGAACTCAAGGTTTTATTTACGTTGAAATCTTCTACTTCCTTTGTTTGAACTTGCTGGATAGCTTTAACTTTTAATAGTTGCGTTCGTTGCTTTAAACATATAGGGTGACTGGCGTCAAATTTTCGATCTTTGGATTAAGCAAAATGTTTGGAAGCCGCTGACTGTATTTGAATAATTCACAGTATAATATGCTCCATAAGTATGTCCCCAAGTTTCGTAGTTTGAATGCTAATCACCCTGTATTGGCAGTAAACACCGTAATTTTTTTCAGATTCTAAGTAAAAGTTGTTGAAATCAAAGACGATATTTTTACATTTATCGCTCAGTTTTACTTGTTTAGATAAAAAGGGCGTGTCGAAATGTAAGTAGTATATGCCAAAGAAATCGAAGTCTTGTTTTGGCTTACACCTTAAAACATATCAAACTTTGACTTCTGAGCCAAAATACGAGTATTTTTTTGGTATAACGATTTGTAAATATGTATTAATTTTTTTTTTTAATCGCAACAGTTAACATATCGCCAACTGTGGAAACAGGAAACAAAACAAAACGACTTGAATACTGTTGCTAATTATTATGTCCATATTTATGACTGTCACTACATGTTATAAACATAATATGTTGTCACTAAGCAGTGATGCCCGCACAGTATATCTTGTCCATATCTATAGATTTAGGCCAGTATGATGTAGATATTAAATATTAATGTGGTTATGTTCGACACTGTTTCTTTATTTTATAGTTGTACTGTGATACATGAACGCTTACCTATTGCCTCATTTAATAAACTGTTGACTTTTATTGTTGTTCGTTTAGTTACTTTCTTATTAATTATTTATTAGTTTAAGAACCAACATTATCGAAACATATCACTTATAATTTAGAGACTGTAGATTTAAATGTCATATTGTGATATATTTATGTGACAGCAAAATAAAGCTGAAAAGTCTTATAGGGTGTTTTTTAGTTTACATTAAACGCATCCCACTCCCAAATTTAGTCGCCACAAACTTTAACAATTATTAATTGTCTCTGGCTGTGTACGTACATAAAAGACGGAGCTATATCTATATCTGTTTCTCTTACTCCCCCCTCCATTCATTTTCTATTAAGTGACAACGTACAGCGCCATCTATTTATTAGATTTTTACAGACAGAGAAAGAAATACCTACTCACCTTCGCTTTTATGAATTTTCACTGCCACCTACTCTCTGGTAGTTGTATTCTAGATTGGAGATACATTCGGCGCCAAATCGTAGTGCTCTTTAATATAAACAGTCCGCCAAATTTTCACTGCGCCATCTGTTATCAGTATCACACACTAACGAGAATTATCTATCAACATCTGTCAAATACGTCACAAATGTCAAAATATTTTGTTTACATCGTTCCGTAATCGCGTCGTAACCTCACATTTGGTTGGGGGGTCATGATTTACAGTGAAATTTCTTGTAAACCGTGATAATGTTTAAAAATACGTTCCAAAGTGGTTTCCTTTCGATTTTGTATAGTATTGGCAGTAAGCCGCTTCAAATTTGGGATAAGAAAGTCAAAAATGGCCATATCAAAAGGATCACGGACGAGGACATCCAGTCCTTAGTCCTGGAGGTTGTAGGATGTAACGTTAGCACAACTTACATCACGTGTCCAGCCGATCCACGAAAAACTCTCGGAATTAAACTTCCATATCTGGTCATGATCGTGAAAAATCTGAAAAAGTATTTTACTTTTGAAGTCCAAGTATGTAGACAGTTTGTGAGGTCAAATAAAACATGTGTTTTATTGTAGATTCTAGATGATAAAAACGTTAGAAGAAGATTTAGGGCTAGTAATTACCAATCAACAACAAGAGTGAAGCCGTTTATTTGTACAATGCCCATGAGGTTAGATGAAGGATGGAACCAAATTCAGTTTAATGTAGCAGATTTTACGAGACGTGCCTACGGCACAAATTATGTGGAAACGTTGCGAGTTCAAGTGCATGCTAATTGTCGAATTCGGAGAGTATACTTCTCGGATAGATTATACTCAGAGGACGAGTTGCCTGCAGAATTTAAGCTCTTTTTACCAATTCAGAACAAGACACGAACAGCAGTAGCAGCACAGTAGTTGCAAATTCCACCGTCACATTTCATTGTTTTTTGTGTATAAATATCAGTAGAATTAATTTGTACATGTTTCATGACCATTATATAAATAAGGCACTTTTCATAATATTTTCGTTTTTTCAATTACACTATTTTGTGAATTACTAGAAGCATAATTTTGTGTAGAAGTTGCTGTTGTGTTAATAATAATTTGTAGGACACATTTTCCAAAAGAGGAGTATGTTGGGTTGCATACGTTGTATTAGTTTAGTTGATTTGTCTAGGGGGCAAGACACAAGCTAGATAATATTCAAATCAAAAATAACATTCTAAAATAATGCGGAAGTCTTATCTCACATGATTATATTTCCATTTCGAAAACTGTTTTGTATAAATTACACTATTTTATGACAAATGAATTGTGTTTGAATTTACTAATAACATGTAGCCTCCAAACCAGTAAATAATATACTGTTATCATGTTATCAACCACTTTTCGACACTTGTCGACAACCACAATCTTAGAATCAAGAATAGGGTGTATATTGGGTTGCATACATTATATTTGCATTGTTCGGCCATCAGTAGCGACTCGTCTGGGCGGGCCACACACAAGTTAAATAATGTCCAGTTGTCTATCCATTATGATTATGATAAATAGTTATAATTCTTAAAAAAAGGCATTGCGACGTGTTTTTATATTAAAAAAAGTAACTAACTAAATGGAGATGCATGCTAAAGTTGTTTCATTACTAGCTAGTAAATTAAGTTCATTCCTTTTTGATTTGAAGTAGAGAAAGTAATTATTTAATAGTACCATAATCATAATCACACGGAAAACAAGCAGATGTCAGTATAAAAATAAATATGTAATTTATTCATACCTAATCGTCTTAATACAGGGTGTTATTGAAAGGTACGCACAACAAAATGAACAGTTTTTCGCGAAGTCTAAGAAGTCGGAAAAACTTATTTTGTGTTATCAAAATTATAAGGGGAAAATTAACCCTTATCCAACCTTTTTAGACGCTACTGAAGGATAAATACGTAAAATTAATTTATTTTAGTAAATCCTAGCAACTGTAACAATAAAACTTTTGTCAAGACTAAATGTTGCTATAGAAACGAAAGATGATCTTTTTATCAGAGGCGTACAACGAATTTGGACATAAATTTCAATAATTTTTATCTCTGAAAGGAGAACACTTTTACCTGAACTTTTTTTAACTTTTAGCACCCATACTTCGAGACCAATTGCCGATTTTATTTTGTACGTACCTTTCAATAACAGGCTGTATATGTACATCTAATAAAATTACAATGATATAAAGGTTGATTTTTGATTAATGTAGGTTACAAATTAACAATTTCATCAGTCTTAAAATGGATTTTTTTATTGCAACAATAGTAGGGATTCAATGAACTGTGCTTAATGTGTTTTGCCTATATGTTACTTTTGGTATAAAAATTAAAATTTGGAAAAAAATAAAAAATGTTCAAGTTTCAACAATATAATTCTATAAATAAGAGAAATAATAAATATTACATTTTGGTGATAGATCAGTATGGGTTATCTGAATAAAATGAATTGTTGGCTCCATCAGTTTTGCTCCTACAGGAATCTTCCGAATCGGTACCTGATGCAGTTCTGCAAAGAAAAAGTCGGAAAAAAAAGTTGAAGGTGGTTTTTCTTACACGTCGCCACCATATTCATTCGAAGTCGGTTGAATGATCGTGTTTGATCGCGTCTGTGAGTGCTCTAGGTTTGAAGTTTGAAGCCTAAAAACTGGTGAGTTTGTTCCAATTTATAGACCCGGACTGGTTTATTTTCTTGATAATGTGTAAATCTCGCATTAAGTGAATCCTTATTTAGTAATTTGTATTAATTCTTTGATTTTTTCAGTGGTTATTAACCAGTGGTCGCTTCTCGCTATCGGAGTTTTGTACTTTTTTGTCATTTACTGATAAGTTTCTTTCGTTATTATTTTGAGACGAGTGTAGCGATTTCTATCGCTCTCGTCTTACTTTTACCACTTTGGCAATCAAATGCATGTGTTATGTAGTACTTTTTGAGACTTTTATGTCTTTGAGCTTCCTCTATGGCTCTGATCTTCTTATTCTGGGTGACTTTAATATTCCTGAAATGGTTAAGTGGCCTCGTCAAAGGGGAGTTCATCTGTCTTCATGTCCTATGAATCTTTCACTAACTTTTTTGCCTAACTCAATTTAATTCAGTGACTAATTTCACAGGTAGAACGGGTAGAACCTCAGATCTTATTCTGTACACTAGGCACTGTGATGTGACTAAAGCTATTGTGTGGTAGGGTACCACCCGAAGTTCTCGGCTGCTCGGCTCTCGTCGGGTGTTCGATACCACCCCCAAATTGATTCATCACCGCCCTCCTGGACGAACGAGTGGCGGACACAGAGTCACCAACAACTCGTCAACGGGCACGTGTCGCAAAAATACATAAATATTATCTTTATCAAGTATATATAATGACATGTACATAATATCAATAAATCGTTGTTAAAAGTACACGTCTTTCCACAAATAATAATCACTACAGTTTCCACATTGGTCCTTCGAGCCGGATATTAATACCGCGACTGTATTATTCGGAATTGAAACGCGACGCGTGGTAGTGACGTTCCGTGGTAGCAGTGGGCAGCATTTCTAAAAAAGGAAACACCACCCCATGGAAGAAGTTTTCAACTAACAAATTCCGTGGAAGCAGTGGGCAGCATTTCTAAAAAAGGAAACACCACCCCGTGGAAGAGGTTCATTCAGCGATCTCCGTGGCAGCAGTGGGCAGCATTTCCGACAAAGGAAACACCACCCCGTGGAAGAGGTTCATTCAGCGATCTCCGTGGAAGCAGTGGGCAGCATTTCTAAAAAAAGGAAACACCACCCCGTGGAAGAGGTTCATTCAGCGATCTCCGTGGCAGCAGTGGGCAGCATTTCCGACAAAGGAAACACCACCCCGTGGAAGAGGTTCATTCAGCGATCTCCGTGGCAGTAGTGGGCAGCATTTCCGACAAAGGAAACACCACCCCGTGGAAGAGGTTCATTCAGCGATCTCCGTGGCAGCAGTGGGCAGCATTTCCGACAAAGGAAACACCACCCCGCGGAAGAGGTTCATTCAGCGATTTCTACGGCAGCAGTGGGCAACATCTCCGACGAGGGAACGCCACCCCGTGGAAGAAGTCGTCATTCAGCGATTTTCGCGGCAGCAGTGGGCAGCATCTCCGAAGAGGAATCACCACCCCGTGCAAAAATCTCAACATCGGAACTAGGGCTTCAACAAGAGGGAGTCAGCACACGTTCAGCTACACTCTTATCGTGGACGAGTGTAAACCATTGAGAGGAGAAAGGTTAGTGGCTCTTTTGTCCTAAGATTTCCCTTTTTTACCATATTCGCACGGCTAGCTTCAACGCGTATTTGTGTATCTAGACAGTTTTAATTGGCTTTAAGGTTCATTAATTATTCAAAAATATGTCTAAATTAGATCAGCAAAAAAGCAAATTGAAAACCATTGATGATAAATTGAAACGAATAGAGGAATATGTACAGTCATATAGTCCTGGGGTCAGTATCAATCAATTAAAAGCACGATTATCACTTCTTGACGGAATTAGAAACGATTTTGACGAAACTCAATACCAGATAGAGCAACTTGAAAAGGGGGCCGCAGAAGCCTACGAAGGCTGCAGATCGGAATTTGAAATTCGTTATTGCGATGTTGTGTGTCTTATAAACGATATTATAGAAAAAAGTCTCGCGGTTCCGGTTCCATCGACTTCTTTATTGCTTAACCCTACGGACGGTAAAAATCCACGAGATTCTAATGACAGCATGCAGTTGAATCTACCCGTTTTAAATATCAAATCATTTAGTGGCGATTACAAAGAATGGTTAAATTTTGAAAATTCGTTCAAATCGGTGATAGATGAGAATAAAGCGTTAAATAACCGTCAGCGATTTCAGTATTTAAAGTCTTCCTTGCGCGACGAAGCCTTCCGTACCATCGAATCTTTAGTTATTAACGATGAAAATTATAAAGAGGCATGGAGATTACTAACTAATCGGTTCAAAAATACTCGTTTAATAGTGCAAGATCACGTAATGTCCATTTTAAATGCTCCTAGTATAAATAAGCAATCACCATCCTTATTGCGGGCTCTTGTCGATACGGTGGTGTCGAATTTAACATCTCTAAAATCATTAGGAATAACGGTGGACAAATGGGATGCATTACTTATTCCTGTCATTGTAGAAAAGTTGGATTATAGTACAAAACGTGAATGGCAACTTTCCCTCGATAAAGATGTACCGACTTACAAACAGTTTATTGACTTTCTAGAAAAACGTTGTTTAATGTTGGAATCATTAAGTTATATGTCGAATAATAAAACATCAAATGAAGGAAAGGTTTATCATAAACAAAATAATTATTTCAACAAATCAAAGACTGTTTCTCACATAACCACTAATAAAAAACAAGCATCTTGTTCAATGTATAAAAAATCATCTCATGTAATTTTTCAGTGTATAGATTTTTTGAAAATGTCAATTCCCGAGCGTATAGCGCAAGTTAAACGTCTTAAATTATGCATCAATTGTCTCCGAGAAAATCATCAGGTTGCTACATGTCGTACCAGTCATAAATGTCAAGCTTGTAACAAAAAACATAATACGTTAATACATACAGACGAAGCTGACGCCGATGAAAATAGTTCAGTAACTTAAAGTAATCATTCTTCTAGTTTATTAAAATGCTCAGATTCCGTTTTACTATCAACGGCTATAGTTCTTATTAAAAATGCTAAAAATGAATATGAAACTTGTAGAGCTTTGTTGGATCCAGGTTCTATGTCCAATTACATAACTGAACCGATGATTAAAAAGCTAAAATTGAGCACGAAACAAATAAATATTCAAATTAAGGGTTTAAATGGAGCGGCAAGTTCTTCTCAAAAGCAAGTTTTAGATGTGGGTATAAAATCTATTTATAATGCGTACTCAACAAAAATAAATTGCATCGTGGTGAACAAAATAACCGAAAATCTTCCGTTAGTGTCTATCAACCCCTCATCTTTGGAAATTCCCAAAACCATAAAACTAGCAGATCCCAAGTTTTTCGAATCGGGTACAATAGATCTTTTGATAGGAGCCGGCCTTTTTTGGAATTTACTTTGCATAGGCCAATTGTCCTCGCCGGGCAGTGGGTTAATATTTCAAAAAACACATTTAGGGTTTATTGTGGGAGGCCCTCTCGGTACCATAAACTTACCGACAAATTTTACAACATGCAATATTTCCATATCCGGACCCGACTCCGGCTTAGAAATACAGGCAAGAAAGATTTGGGAATTGGAAAAACCAGTAATTACGGCGGATTACGATAAGAATG